GTGTTACAATGGCCTCACACAGCTATTACAAACAAACCCTTTAGTAAAAACCTCATAAAAAAAAACAAATTAAACAATAAAATTATTATATACTAAAAGACTAATCCTGTGTTATTATAAACACAATTATGTAAAATAAAAAAATATAACATTTTTTTTAACAATATATATTAGATATATGAAGTGTGGAAATAATAATAATTGTTATAAGAGGAATAAGATATTAACAAAACACATTAATTATGGAACAAAGATCTGCTTTCTTTACTTCCATAAAATTTGAAATAATCTAAATCCTGAAAGTAAAGATACAAGAAATTATAACCAACTAATATCTAAATTGAATAATGTTTGTAATATAAATAAAATTACATCACAACATTAGAAAAGTGAAAAAGTCCAATGTTACTATATCACGTTGTATTTAAACTCGGCTTGTTTTTTGTGTTCCTTTAAGTTGTTTGACATCCCTGTTAAAAAACAATAGGAACCAATTAAAACCAATATGAAATTCTAATGGCACTCTATTGGTTTCTATTGAGATATAAAATCAATTGAAACTAATAAAAATTTCTATTGGTATTTTAGGAGAATATTTATACTACTATAGTTTTGTGTGGATAATGAGGGATGTCATATACCCCACAGAAAATTATAAGAACAAAAATAAAACCTTTGTATAACCCATCCCATCATATATTCAGTGCCTCTGGGACAGTCATTGAAAGCAAGATAATTACTGGTATGCAATTTAGAAGTTTCCATATCAAGCATTATAATATTGCTTTCTGTTTCTAAATTATTGTAGATACAGGTAGCCCTCCGTTTATGCCGGTTCACAATAACGCCGCTGCACAATTCACGATTTTGCTGTGTAATTCCCCGATTTTCCCTATGCCAGACTGATTTTCGTTTCAGTGTTGACGTATTTACCGAACCGCGACATTGTACATTCGTTAAAACAAAGATTTTTTATTGAATATATTTATTTTTCTGTTTAATATTATTGGGTTTGTATACATTTGCATTAAATTAATATTAAAATACCAAACATTTGGTATCCACGAGTCAAGTTATCAAACTTAATAGTCCAATAAATGGCGTCCGAATCCATAACGCCATTGAATTTAATGTATCCTTTCGACTATGGAAAGTTTGACGGTTGAACTTTGTGAGTTAGACAATGATTGGGAGCGAAGTGCGAATGTAAAAAGGAGAATTGTCACATCCATTCGACCATATTCCGAAATTCTCAATGAAAGAAAACAAAAATGTAAACAAAGATGGATACTTTTTCCGAAAAATGCGAGAGATCTGAAACTAAAATTTTTAATAAAAACATTTAACTTTATTTTATGATAAAATACATTTTAAAAATTTTTATTTGTACTTTGTATTATATTGTATTAATAAACAAAATTATTTGCGTATTTTTCACTTATGTGGAACCTAACCCTATACCTCAATGTAAATATGGGTTCGTTTTACGCCGATTCGATTTGTGCCGGCTTTTGTAGGAGGGCTACCTGTATACAGAAACAACCAAGCCTGAATATTCTATAATAAACATATTAATTTTTGGATTAATTGGACAGTATTGTACATTTCAATTTGGTCATTTTGGTTTGGCCATTTTGGCATAAGAAAAATTTTCTCCATTAATTTGACATTTACATTAAATGACATTAATGTCAATTTTCTCCATTGACATTAATGTCATTTAATGTAAATGTTATTGTAAAAGTGATGTGTAACAAGTCATTCCACCACATTTACCAGAAATGCTATTTATTAATGATTATCTTACTTATTTTGCAAACTAAGATTTTTAATTAGTTATATTTTCTTCTAACTAATCTTTTTATCTTTTCACAGTCATTAAATTTTTAAGATTTAAAATAAGATGTTTAATTATATAAAAATAATTTATCAAGTTATTAATTTGCAACAGTAAAACTGACTTCCACAAGGAGAAAAAAATCAGCTATTTTTTAGTTAAGATTCATTAATAAATCATGTAATCTGTCATAAAAATTTATTAAGAAACAAAATTTAATAAATATGTCTCTTAACAAATTTCCTGAATTTTATATTAATAAACTGAAGAAAATTTATTCAAAAATTAACTATTTTGTTACAGAATCAAAATTATTAAAATTAGAATTGAAAAATGATACACGGTACCATTTAAATTACATTAATTTATAATTTTTGTTTTGTTTTCATTTTTACACTACTTCATTAACATCTGCCCAAAAACTGAGACCGTGAAGAATAATTGTAAAAAATTAAAATATTTTGTAAGCAAATTTTATTGATATTAGATCATTAGAAATTCTGTCAAATTTACAATTTTGCTAACTTATACAGCATTTTTGAAGTCGAGAAATGTTTTAAAATTTAAATATACCAATTTATACCATAACAAGGACTCGTTCCTACCTATTTTGTTGCATTTTGTGACGACTGGTTGTTACAATAACATTGACATTAAGTAACATTAATGTCAACTAATAATAATAAACTAATGGAGAAAGTTTCTTTTTTGTGCCAAAACGTTCTCATATCAAAATGGTCATGCTGAAATGTAAATTCTGTTAAATAATTACTTTAAAGTAACATTAACTAATAATTATAATAATTATTAAATTTAATTCAAAAAATAATTAACAAAATCTAAACTAATGATGATATTAGCTTTTTTTTTTTAATTAAAGCCAAATAATTGCCAAATTATATCAGGCTATATTGCTATTATTATTATTAATTGAATGCTAAATAATTTAGCACAAAAGGTACTATCTCTTGCTAAATTTAACAATTATAATTAATAGCTTTTTTTTTAATTTTTAAATTGTGGAAATCTGTTTTACATTAATTAAGCTAACATTTATACATCTACAACAGCCATAAACAATCGGGCTATATTTTGGATAAAAATACTGTATAGCCCAATAAATTATGGCTGTTGCAGATGTATTAGCTTAATGTATCGGGTTTCAATGATCACGTACATTTAAGCTAACATTTATATAAAATCCAAACGCAAATTATTTATCGTATTTATACAGACACTTGGCAAATCACAGAATTAAATTTTATTCAGTTGATAATAATTTGTGTTTAGATTAAAAATTACTGGCACGGTTTCAAAAATACCAGATTTATATAAAATTTAAAATATTAAATAATTTTCAATCCAGTGTGTTAGCAAAGACAATAGCTTAGTACAGTGGCATACACACACAAGAGTGCATTTGTGTATTGTTTTCACCAACGTTTACTTGAAGATGCCTGCCTCACGTTCAAGCCGTAGATAATACTTGGCTTTAAGTGGTACTGAAAAACATCGCCGAAATACTGAGAAACTCAGTTTGTACTCGACGGCCACCCGCGTTAAGGCAATTACAAACTGTCTCAATTATGTCAATTAAGTGTAAAAATAAATAAATACTATTTATTTTTATTTTGTAACTAATTTCTTTTATCCAGTAATAATAATAAACTCTGAAAAAGTTAAAACAGAAAATAATTTTATCTTCAATATTAAAACTGTTTTCTGTCTAATTTTGTTCAAAACATTTTAACCTTTTAAACAGAATTTCGTCAAGAGTTTTTCTTGTTTAAATATTTTAATTTTAATGCATCATTTATTTTTAGAATTTTGAGGAAAAAAGTGAGGAGTATAGTTAAAGACTTTGTATCATTTTTTGAAAACAGATTAATAGATAATTGTTGGTCCAGTAGATAGGTCAGTTGTCTGCCACTGGCCAGTCACTGTGTGAATCAACTTTAATTTGCGATCGTAATTTAAAATCGGCATGTAACCATTCCATCACGTAAACCACATCCCCTTTCAAATTATTTGCCAAAAACACGGCTAACCATGCCCAATTATCTGCCCAAAATTACAGTAATGTATTTGTCTATAGTTATGGTATTAATTTATGTAGTAAGGTAGTTTAGTTAAGTGAACTAGACATTAAACAGAACGTGCTCAGCAAATAATTAACTTATCACACTACACCTTTATTTTGCTGAGATAGTTTTATTGAAGAACTAATGTTTTCGGCCTACTCTATAGGCCATCCTCAGGCTTAATGATAGAAAAAGGAACATTGGTGCTCCATTAAATAGAATACATAAATTTAAATACAAAGAATAATAACAGAAAAACAAGAAAAATAACTGAAAAAATAATTCATATACAAATACAATATAAAACAAAGCCAGACCTAGTGACAGAAAATAATAAATAAAAATAAATGTACTAGTTAATTACGAGACAGCTGTAAAAAGTGTTTTGATCAAAGTAGATAATACTTTAACAGATATTTACTTTCAACTACCTTTGATTTGGGAAACTTTCCATTTGCAAAACAAACGATTATTTTTTCATTTGGAAACATTCCAATTATAACATGCAACAGATTTTTATTTGACATAATACCATACGTTGTACGAATCGACGACTGAAACAAAATATATTATGTTTTTATTGATAAATGTTAATGTTTATTACAATAATTGTTTTTGAGATAAAAATTAATTCAATGCAATATTACATACAAGATATGACCAAAAAATAAGAGACCCATCGTCATTTTTCACGCAGAAAAAACGCCATTTATTGAATTCCAAAGAAAATCTAAAGTACTGTATTATAGCTTTCATATACATTTTAATTTAAATGTTTTAAATTATTTTATTGAAGATAAAGTGAATATAAAATTCATTATGGCTTATAAAACATGTTTTTTAATATTTAAAAGTTATATTCTTTTTCATTTATTATAACTTACACTAATCCAAAATTAAACTGGTTCTACTCTAGTTTTAAGTAAAGAATAGCATAATAAATAACAAAATACAGAATTTTAACGTAAGTATTTTGAATTTATATTGGATACAGATAAAATATGCAACCTTCTTTTATAATTCCAAGAGAAGTAAAAGAAAGTGAAGAAATGAATTAGGAAGTAACATACATACATACTTACTCTATCGCCCCAACTTCCACTGTTGCAATCCGTATCCAAAGATTGTGAAGTATCGCTGATACGAGACTGCGCGTCGCTGTCCCCGAAGCTTTCCGGTCCAAAGTATTTCTCCTAGCATTAAATACAGAAATTTGTAATCATCAATTCCTCAATATTTTGAAACGCGCACACGTAACTTTAACATTATCAATAATACGATCACATAATTAAAAGTAATAACTTTTACGTCTCGTAAACACGAAGGCAGTTCGAAGAGCGATGCGAGATATTTTATTACCGAAATCGTACTCGTCGAGCCCGAAATGGAAAGTTCAAAAACCATCGGTCCAGAAGGATCGGACTCCCAGAAGTCCCACCACACTCCCCTTGCCATACCTGCCACGGGTTACCGTCAAGATGCTTCTCCTTATTGTTACAAAACAGCATTTTACAAACTTACAATTTAAACATCAAATATTAACAAATACAATATGCATAAAATAGACTGTATGCAGGACTGTATATATAACTAACAATAAAGAACATATAAACAACGTTATGTATACTAAAATAGCTGATTAGAAATCCCTTAAAAACAAATAACAAATGGTACTAAACAACATCAAAACAAACAAGCATTCAGTTATAATCTACCAGATAAAATTAACCACAATGTATCAAATTTCTAATTTCAAACATATTTTTAACAACTTTAGTTATTTTAATAAAATTATTTTTACTTTGAACCATTTCGTAATACTTACCTTGAAAAGACCAATTTTTATCTTTATTCACGTTCATTATAAATAAAATATTATCAGTTTTATCTCTTATATAGTCACGTTAAAAAAAAAATGCTCCAAAGTATTAACCTTTCCACATTCAAAAAGTCACTTTTGACCAATGAAAACTGATACAATTTTTGCCAGAAATCTCTGTGCCCACTCAATAACTGGGTATTATAATAATTCAATTCTATCCAATTTTTACTTACTCTTTGTTCCACTGTAGGGGAAAAAACATTGATGTGATTTTACCCTTAACTTCCATATTCCATCTACTCTGCCAGTAATTCTTTATCTAAATATATATTTATAAAATTACTTGTCCTGACTGACTGACTGATTCATCATTGCCCAGAGCAAACTGCTGAACCTAGAGGTGAAATTTTGTACACAGGGTACGTCACGAAAACGCACACTAAGAAGAGATTTTTCGAAATTCCCCCGCAGGGGGAGAGGGAGAGCATTAAGGGTTAACGCAAAGATCGGTTTCTACTGTACTATTTTAGATGACTTTTTATTTTCAACTACATTTAGTCTTCATTGAGTACTTAAGTGTATTAAATTGATGACATTTCAGACATTGTTATAAATATTTTTATATATTTTGATTTTTAACCAAATGTTCAAACCGTTTTAAATTCGAATTTGTTATTGCATATTGGTTCGATTATAGAACGATTGTAAACGTTCCAGAAAATTGACCAAATTGAAAACGATTTGTTTGATTCTTGGCAATTCTCATCATTCTCGGCAGTAGGTGTTATATAACAATTACTATGGTTGTTGAAATACTGAATATAAATGGGGTTTGCTTGCAAAATCCACGCAGGCAAAGTTGCAGGTAACAGCTGGTTTATATTATATTCAATAGTTTTAATCTTTTTATTATCAATATCAATACTAAAATCATATTCTAGGCCTTTAAATACAAAACTTTGTTTTTTCCTTATTTTACTAAAATAATACCATTTCATCATTTCTACATCAATTGGTAAGCAATTAGTCAATATTTGGAGAGCAGCAGTAGAAATTGTTCTATGTCCTTTTGACATCATTATTAATGCAACTCTCGAGTAGTCTGCATAAACTTATCTATATGATATTTTTTAATAGAGTTCCACCATACGTTTATACCATATACCAATATTGGCATCATTAATCCTCTATAAATAATTTCAATAATCTTATAACTCATTCCTCATTTCTTCCCGCAATAGTTCTCAATTTATAAAAACAATAAAGAGCTTTATTACATACGTATTCAACACGTGGAGTAGTATTTAGGCATTCTCCATAACAAATACCCAAATTTTTTATAAACTAACGTACCCAATCTTATTATTATCCAATTTGATAACAGGCGATCGCCGTTTCACAAGACGTCCTTTCGATAACGTACGCTTAGTTTTCTCGACGGACAAAACCATCTTATTAGACTCTAACCACTCGTTAAAAATCTTTAGAGCAAATTGCGACTTTCCTCCAATTTTCCGCGCCCGTCCGCAGGTGTCTACGACGCCGATTCGTCTACACGCGCGGCACAAACGATTCCGAAGTTTCTCGATATTCTCAAACATCCGTCGAAAAACAAATTCCGGAATAAAGGTCCCGGGACCGATCTCCGAGGGCAACCCCTCGTTACTTTCTTACACGCTTTATCGACGCCTTGGATTAATATACGACCTTTCTCAAAATAATCGAGAATTATACGATACAGATCTTTAGAACAATCACGTATTTTTAACTCGTTTAGTACTGCGGGCGAACGTAAGTAATCAAATGCACCCTTAAAAGTTCGAGAACCGGAGGTTCTCAAACTTTTCGTTTCGTAGACCGGACGCTCTCGTCGTACGAAAACGGAAACTAGGAGACCGGAACGCTGGGGGTGGCCGGCAAGGCTTTTCCCGACACCCGGGAGGAAAGTACCGACCGACGTCCGCGCCGCGTACGAGCGGAGGAACGACGAAAGAGTCCGTCGAGAGGCGGCGCGTAGACCGGCGTCGGGCAAAAACGGACGACCCGGCCCGCCTCCGGACGGCGGTCGGGGCGGGAAATCGGAGCCCGGACTCACCTCCACGCATTCGTCGTCGGAGGGAGCGTCCCGGGACAGCAGTTCTTCGGACACCCACCGCGAAGAGCCGAAGGTCTCGAAGAGTTCCGAATCGCAGCCGCACTTCTTCCGGAGGTCGAGCCTCAGACGACGAAACAGCTTATAGCAGACGAAGGAGCCGATTCCCAGGAGCAGGAGAATACCCGCCGCACGAACTGCAAATAGGTAATAAGAAAAAGTCAAAATTCCACCCTCTCCGGCCGGACGGTCGGGGCCCGCGTGGGAGGAACGGATCCGTCCGGGGAAGATCCGGGATTTTCGGGTCCCGGGGCAGACGGGGGTCCCGTTTCTCGTCACATTAAGAATCTTATTAAAATTCGATTTTAATAACACGAAAATCAGTCGAAATATATTTATTTACGAAACGGTGCGGAGGACAAACTTTATATCTTATATAAAAACAACATAAGAAATAAATAATTATTATTAACAAAAACGTATAAACAAACAAAATTTTTAATAAAATAAAAAAATATTTTTTACTACGCGATAAGTGCCGACAAAGTATTAAAATTTATGATAATTCAATTTTTGTGGGCCGGCAAAAATTGCCCTATTAGTCTGTACGTAGATCCCCCCCGGATCCGACGACGTTCGGCCGTTTCTGCGTCGAAACCGATTCTATCTTTAAATTTTATTAAAGCCTTTCCCCGCCACTTCCGCCGGAGCCCACCCGCGTCTACTCTGGGCCGGGACGACCACGCGCCCCGATAAATACCGGAAAGAAAGGCAGCAAATATTGGAAATTCATTTCTACCGGTAAAAAACTATAACAGATGGGAAACGAAGTATTCTCCGGACGGCGATAAAATCCGGAGGAGCCGACTCGGGCGCGGGTAAAACGCCCGGAAAAAATATTTGCCGGACAAATAGGTCGGCGCGAGAGAAAAGTTCCAACGCGGTAGCAACAAGGAACCGCTCGGTGGAATTTTTCGCACCCTCAACGCCGGAAATAAAGCGTAGACTTTTTCCGGTGCGGTGGGAGGCAGCGATTCCGAAACCGCGGACGGGCGAGCACCGAAATAATTATTATTAAATTCGGTAATTAACGGCCAGGCCGGATTTAGGCCGACTTCTCGGCCGTCGTTTACCTTTTCGCCCGCTACGTAATAGGCCGAAAGGCGGCCTTTCCGCCCTTCGAATTTTTCCTAACGGGACGGCGGCCTCCGGAAAAATACGAGGGAGACGAAGAAAGAACAGTTTTGTGGGAAAATGAGAGAAAGTGGCCGGTACGGCGCCGAATTCCCCGTGGGTAAAGAAAGCAAAAATAAAGTATGGCACCCTCCTTCCTTCCGCCGGTCGGGTTAAAGATCCGCGGCCGGACACGCATTCTACGCAAAGGTGCCCGGGTTCTAACGGGAATGGGCGAATTACTTCCCGGCGTAAAATCTAACCGGCAAACTAGACGGTCCGTCGTTAACTTTCGTCGGACCGACACCGGGCCTAGGCTAGCTCTATCCGATTAACGGCAGTCTCCGGACACTTCTTTATTACGTCAGGGCCGAGAGTCGGAGCCGGGTCCGGCAGAACTTTCACCTCCGCCTTCGGGTTACGGCGGCGGAGAAAGTGATCGGTCCTCCCCGCTCCACGCGGCGCTCCTTCCCCTCCCGTTTACCGTCGTCTTCCGCCGTAAAAACTAAGCGCCCGTCTCGGCTTTCGTTCCCCGCCCCGGTTCGTACCAGCGGGAAAAACCGGAAGCGAAGAGAAGGAAGGTCCGACTCACCTTTGCCCGATCTTCCGTCGGCCAGCAGGGGCGCCGCCGCCGGCAGCAGGGACAACAGACGCGCGCACTTCGGCCGGCCTTCGACTTCCACCCCGACTTTTCCCTCGGCCTCCGTCGTCACGTGACGCGGCCGGTGGCCGCCCTTCATCCGCCCGGCCCTTTCTTCCGCCGGGAAGGTGCGGGACCCACCCACCCGCTGCAGGGTTAAGATCCAGGAAGGTAGAACGAGGCGAAATCACCTTTTCTCGCGCCCACCCTTTCTCTTTCCAACGGACTATCCGCTGGCCGCCGCCGGTGCCATCTACCGACCGGCGTGGAAACTTTCTTTGTTTTGGTGGCAGTCGGGACGGAGTTCCGCTTCCGTCTTCGGACCTGGCTCTTCTTACGTACTCTTACGTCAAAAAACGTCGATAAACGTTTCCGCCGGTCATCCACCTTTTCGGATCTTCCGGTCCGCTCCTCCCCTCGTTTTCTTTCCTTCCCCTCCGTACTCCCGGCCGGGCGCGTGTTTCCGGTGGTCTTTCCGGATGTACCGTGACGTAAAAATAGTCCGGTTTCGACGGCGCGGAAAGAGTGGCGGCTTTACGTCGTCGAAGCTAAATTATCCGCGGACCAAAAGTGTTTACTTTTCGGATGCGTAAAGTGACGGAATCCGTTAGGTGCAGTCTATTTTCTACTTATAAAAGAAAGCCTGGTTTATCGTTAAATCTGGCCTATTAATTAATTAGTGGGTTTAACGGGTTCCTCGGACCTTCCAAACGTAACGAAAACCGGTTATTTTCTTTTCTATCGCGCTATTATTGTTTCGCAGCTAAAAACACTACGGGCAACGAACGTCATTTCTTCTCGGGGTTCGTCTTACGGATGCGACCGTGTCTAGGGCCGGGGACGGCCTTCTAATTGCGTTTGTCGACCCCGGGAGAAAAACCTCCGGTCCAAATGTAATTAACGTTTCCTTATTAAGCAGGGTTCCGGTTCCGGACTTCGGCCCCCGGCGAGGAAGGGTCTCGCCACTCGTTTTAAGGGGCGATAAATCCGGGAGTTCCTCTCATTCCTCGGCTTCGGCCTTATTTACGGACGGCGGAATCGGCTTCCACCGGCGGAAATTAAGCCCCCCTCCGGTTTGTGTTTACGTTAGTAACGCCTGCCGCGACGCTCCGACGTTTTTCGGCCCGTCCGCGCCCAAACCTAAACGGACGAATAGAAAAGAGCCGCTCTCTCCCCGTCGGCCGTTCGGACTCGGGTCGGCAGCCTTCTCGGAACGGAGAAAACTAAGGGTGCGTCGCCCTTCTCGGAACGCCTCTTTCGTCGGCAGTCACGAAAGGGAGAGGGGAATACCCTCTCTTCCCGGAAAGGTTTTTTCACTCGAGTTCGGAGTACGAACCCCGCGCCGCGACGTCGCCCGCGGCGTTTTATCGCGCGGAGCGTCGAGGGATGAACGACGGCGCCGGCGTCCACCCCGTCCCTCCCGGAAGCCGACCATAGGAGACAGCGACTCCTTCCCAGCGCGGAACTTTTTCGGTAGGGGAAGGCCGTCCGAGGCAGAAGGAAGCCGCCACGGGCGAAAGAGGAGAAGAGGCGGAAGCGGATTTCTCCGCGGCGACCGCCCCCGCTTTCTCGCGCCGCGGGACTTCCTCCGTCCTAGTATCGATCGCAGCCAGCGCCGGTGGCGCTCTTTCTCTCCGGGAATGGCCGAGAGCCGCGGTTTCCGACCGGAAAGAAGACTTCTCCGTCGAGGTCGAGGGAAACGGGACGGCGGGCCGAAAACTGCCGTCTCGAATCTTTCGTCCTTTTATCACCGGAGGCCAAAAAGATCGTAATCCCGCCGTCGTCGGAGGGTGGACCCCGTCTTCTCCACTATTAAGACAATGGTGCGTGACCACTATTAAGACAACCCGGCTGGTCTCATAGAAATTTTCCTATTCTACCGGATAATCCCCCGAGTGGCCGAGTAAAGAAAACCTACGTTTATTTCCCGGTCCGGAAAATTTCCGCGCAGAGGGACGTGCCCGGGTCCCGCTAACTTTACGGACATAAACGACCCGGGCGGTTTACTTACGTCGGTAATTCTCGCGGCCGGAGCGCGGGGAATTTCCACCTTCGACCCGGTCAGAAGATGACGTTTTACCGAAAGGACGGTCGATCGAACGCCCGACGCCCGGTTTGTTTACGTGGCGCGCGGACGGAGACTCCTCCCTGGGGGCCGTCGTCGGCGGGAGGAACCGAGAAAGAGGGAAGAAGGACTCACCGGTTTCGGCCGGGACGATCCAGGGGTCGTCGGGACAGCCGTCGGACAGGAGTCGACGAGCCGCCGTCAAGTTGCCCCGGCTCCAGACCAGGGGTATTCCGGGTTCGGGTCCCGCCCAGCGGGCGCACAGGGGACAGGGCGGGCTTCCGTAGTAGACGGCCAATTCCAAGGTGCAGAGGCTGGATCGCAGCCCCCCCACCGGCGGCGCCATCTTCAGCACGGCCGCCGCGGGCCGGACATGCCGAGGCCTAGGGGAATGGCTGTGGGGCCCGGGCCCTCCCCGCCCGCCGGTCCTAGCGGAGGCCCCTCCGACCCGCAGCCATGGATGCCGCTCTCCGCTGTCGTCTTTCCCGCCCGCTCGGGCGTCGGACGGAGAAGCTGACTTCTTGCTGGGAGGTGGAGGCCGACGTGCTTCCGTCCGCTCGGGTGCCGTCGTCCTTTTGCCGCGATCGATGTCTTCCCGACCTGCCTTTCGCCTGCGGGAAAATCCCCTCTTTCCGTAAATCGGCCTTTCCTTCTCCTTCCCTCCGTCGGGTGGCGCTTTTCGCTCCCTCCGCCTTTTTACCGTTCCGAAATTTCGTCGACCGAAAAGAACGGTAAAATAATATCCGGAAGATGGTCCGTCTCTTTACGATTTTCTTTCGGGGCCACCCGGGTGGTCTTTCCCTTCGGCGGATTCTGGCCAATCTATTTTTTTTGCGTTATAGTTCTAGCTAAAATCTATTTCCAGTTTTACCAGAAAAACACTTTTACAGTGAATAGATTTACATTAAACGGATTAATGTACGGTACAGCACGTCCGTGTGGAATAATTCTCCGTGCCGGGCGGGGTAGATAAACGGAAGAGTCGTTTTCGCCACTTCGAGTAAACGGAACGTCGGACATCCGCCGAGAAGGGGATTTTTCGTCCGAAACCGAAATTGCTGCCGTCGACAAACGTTACTCCGGTTCCGATTGGCGACGTATAAAAATGGCGCGATTTAACGAAGAAAAAGACGACCGATCGCCGGTCTGGTCGGACGTTCTCTTACGACGGCGGCGCGGCTGGGATCGGAAATAAAAGGACGAGCGTCCGGATGGGTGGGCGACGGCTTTCGGATACAAAGACAGAATGGGTTTTTGCCTACCGGAGTGACCCGGTGGATTTATGGCGGCGTCCTAAGTCGGAGAAAGAAGCGTCGTCGTGGGCATTTATAAAATATGCCCGCCACAATAACGCGGTTCTAGTTAGTACTCGGCTATATGTTATTCGCGCCTATGCCGGAATATCGTACGATTTCAATTATTTTTTTTTACGTAGTAGGGAAGAGCGTGGGTTTTTCTGGAATAAAAGTAGACCTAATTTCCCACGTATCCGAATAACGCTCCCGGGACGTCTCGTGTCTCGAAATCCCGGGACTTTTTCTAAATTTCATTGTCTCGGGTCGAGACTCGAGACACGCTTATCGAAATTGTATTTTCAAAAGGTTAGCCGAGTCACGCTTCCTTCGTTCTCCCCCTGTAAACAACGCGGGTGGGAATAATTTACCAGGCCGCGTGACTTTTAACCTTACTCCGTTAAATGTTTGTTAAAATATTTGCGCACCGGCCGCCACAGCTGACAGTGGCAAAATACGGATTTTTTTACTTCGAATTTGAATAAAACCGCGCTTATTACTTTTGCGGAAGATTCGCGTTACAGACTTTTTGAAAATATCCCTGGTATCCAAACGCCAGATTTGGAAATAATGGACGCCCAACCCAGTACCGGTAGCCCTACAGTACACAACCAACCCGACGAGTCGTTTCGAAGTCAAATGGAACGGGCAATCCAAAAAATCGAAGAAAACGTAGCCGAAATTTTTGCAAAAAGATCGAGAGCGGCGTTAAAAAAAGGAGTTCCGGTTATTGGAAGAAACCGGAAAACGTACCGAAAGTTTGGAACTACTTTATAAAGCTTTAAACGCGATAAAACCGACATCTGTTGAAAACGAGAGTGTGTTCTCCTTGTCCTGAGGCATTATTACAAAAATCAGAAACAGATTGTCGGACAAAGCTGTAAATGCTCCGATGTTTTTAAATATCTATTTTATTAAATCGGAAAAGATGTCTAATTGCTAGTTCATTATATTATTTATACGACTAACGAATAGAAACTAGGTGATGATTATCAATTAATGATTAGTATGATTGCTAAGTTGGTTTTATAATTTTAAGATTTCACTGCCAAAAAATGGATCTACGATTATAAGAATTAAACGTACCAACCGTTTAAACTTTAAATAGCGTTATAAATGTTAAGATTTGATTTTATGTTCGATACTAAAGTTGCTTTTTTATCGATACGTCTGGCCAAAAATGAACTCGATTGTAATTTTATTCCGAGGACTTGGACATCGCGCCTTTCCTCGCCCGATAAAAGTAAGTTTTCTATACGCGACACGATCGATTAAAGTAGAAATATAGATAATTGCGAATCGCGAGTAGCGTAGACGGGAAGATTATTAGATTATCTGTTGTACCGAAACGACGCCATCGAACCGTCTAACAATTTTATATAATAATAATGTCTCGTAATTACGGAATGAATTTCGTAATCGGGAGTAGATTCCGGAGAAGTTTCGAATCGTCTACGACGGACGAAACGAAAAGTATGTGGATTCGGCGTCGGGAACCGTCCTTTTATTCCTCTCTTCTATCTTAATATCGCGGCTATAGGCCGTCGGCTACGCTTTATTATAATACGAACGTAATACGTATGGGGATTTCGAGAGTGGGGGTGCTACCCGATCCGGATTCTCCGTGGTTTTTCGGAGAACGTCGCACGATTACCTTAGAATTATCTTAGTAACCTAATTTTACTTAATCCGAGTTTGGCCGCTAGCGTTGTTTTATTTTATTTTTATTTTAGAATAATAAACCCACCGCTTTAGTATCGAGAGGTGCCGCCGCACCGTAAGTAATCCTCCGAATACGCCCGTCGGAAGGAAGTTTTCGAAACTCCGGAAATTATCGTCGGTCTTCTTAGCGTAATTTAAGTACGGCGGCGCGTGGTAGGTGGGGAAACGCTTTTCGAATTGGGCGAAAATATTTCGTTAATGGACGATCCGCCCAATCGATTTATATTTCGAATCGGCGTTAATTTTTAAGCCGGTATTTTTCCAAACAATTTCCAGCCTCGGGAATCGTTCTCGTCTTCTTAGACCCAAGTACGTGCCCCAAAACGGAACATTTCCTCGAAAATACTGGTAAAATATTGGATACTCACCGAAAAACGCGTAACTTTCGACGTAAGCTTGGATTGTCACCGCTTATATTCGCTTTCCGAATGACTTTTACCGTGGAACTTATCTAAATGTGTCGATATCCGTTTATCTAATCGAAGGCGTAACAACTATTGTACGTGTACGCGCGCAAATATAGGTTTTAGAGAAAATAACGAATAACATTAAAAGTTTTTCGCCGCGCGAACGGTAAAGTTCTAGAACGACCGGAATGGTCTTTAGAGTATTCGTCGGCAACCCGCGGTTCCCGGGCGCTAACGCGTTGCCCCGGCTTCGACAACGAAATTTAATTTTCTCCTTTTGCGTCTGGTGCCATTGCGCAATCCCGATTAGGCCGATATCGGTGAGGTCGAACGTTCCGACCGAACTCTACCGGCTAGAACGCGAGGAAAGATCGATCGAAAGTACGATTTAGTCCTACCCGCCGTACGGGGCTGGTAGGATGCGACTAAATTGCGTAATTTGGCCAAGCCGCGGCACCGGCGGCCGATACCGACTCGAATCGTCGTCGACCGTTAACTATTACGTAATAAAAAACCGGACATTTCCGGACTGGGGGTAGTGTTTTTATCGGGCGGCGGACCGGAACGTTGGTCTTCCGCACGCGTTAAAGCCCCGTTTCGCGCTACGAATTTGGCGTTTAATCGTCACCCGCGGGTGCCGCGTTTATTCCCGTACGATTCCTGAAAACCTCGTTACGCGCAGTCTACGGAGTAAATATAGTCTATTAAAATTATTATAGATTGGCCACGATAGTTAGAATGGCCGTTCGTGAGTTTTGTACCGAAACGTGGCGGATAACTTATATTAACCAATGTCTTTCTTCGTGTTTATAATTTACCCGCCGAAAATCAGCGTAGCCGATCGGATACATTAAATATTTAGTCGCGAGAATTAATTTTGAGGGTACTTTTCGGCCAAACATGGAATTTATTACAAAAATGAAAAAAAAAATTACATTAGTCAAAATATTTTCCTTTATTTCCTATAATATTAACCGCTAAACCGGCGCCGGCGAGTTTTTATCCAGGGATAAAACTCTCCGTAAGTTTCGACGAGTTTCCGGCGATTATCCGCGGCTCTTTTTTTCTGGCGAAAAAGTAAGTTTTCTGGTAACACGCGCCAAAAACGCTCTCTAGGAAGTTCCGTTTCCATACTTAAAAAGATGCGACTCTTAACCCGTCTTCGCTCTTAAATTATCCGACATTAAACATAAAAGTGAGAATTTTAACCAGCAATAAATATAATTCGGGTTTGACCACTAAAAGTCGCCACTAGAGTCCTCTTTCGAAGCCCTGGAAACTAATTGGCCGGTATCCTAACTTAGATTTTATAAATATTCCGATAAGAAGTAAACCGAACTTTGCGGGCAAACATTTCGTAATATTCTAGGGCGCTCGGAAGTAAGGTCGGAAATTTTAATCGGGTTAAAACGACGAGAACGGGCGACGCGTGACAAAACGAGAATAATTTACGAGGCGAAACGTCGGAATCGAGTAAAAATTCCGAGTTAAAGACGTTACGATTTAAAGTGTCCGTAAAAGAAATCCGTCGACTCCACCCTATTCATTATTATAATGTCTATAAATCCTAAAGAAAGTCTTTTCTATCGTTTTTACACCAGATTAAATTTTCTCTAAGGTAAAGGGGGAAAACGTGTCGCGTGCGTGGCGGGAAAATATTTTTAAAAGTGATAAAAGTTTACGGTAAAATTGAAGAAACTGAAATCCTTTTTTAGATGATTTTATAATCTGTAATTTTATTAATATTCCACTGTTATTTCTATCGTCATTTAATTCGTAAAGTAGTCCAAAATATGGTAGAATTAAATCGAATGCAAAATTATCCGATTTTTGCGTAGTTTCTTAACCAACTCGTATTTCCTCGTTTATTTTCGCACGGACAATGCTTTTCACCGATTAGTACTATAAAATCTTGGAATAATGAAACCGGAGAACGGTCACTTTTCGGAATATTTGAATACTTAACTAAAAGTAAAACCTATCGTTACCGAGAAATGCTTAGTTATAATTGTTTGAAGTCGTAATTATCTTTCGAGTAGTAGAGTAGACGAAATTTTAATTAATAAATTGTCACAAAACGTTCGTGTGCTTAAGTGTTTGTGGGATTTCCACAAACGTACAAATGCGCCTTGGCAAACCCTATCTGTAATTAATCATTCCGTACGGACGCGTGTGTCTAATCGTGGAAAATTTATTTATCTAGTCGTACCGGACACTCGATTTGATCACCCGTTCTCTACTCAAATTTTCGTCGCGTTCAGCCAATGTAACTGGGAACGGTCGACGGTCTCGACGCGTGGCGTTCTCGCTTACGTTTCGTATCGCTTCGAACCACTCGTAAAGAAAGGATTCTGGCCATTATGGCAGCTAACTATCGCCACGATAACTACCCGAACCGGTTTTATAAGGCGCGTGGCCAATGAGAAATTAATTACGGGCTTAAGTCAACCTAACAATTAGCGGTAAGTTAAAGGCTGTCGAAACATACGTAAGTCAAACGCGCGTTCTGGAAACTCGTGGATACCGGAGGTATGGAGGACGAATAACGAAGAGTAGGGTGCGGGATCTAGAGAGCCTAAAGGCTCCGGATTCGGAAACGCTCGCTGCCGTGGACGGCGAGTCTCCCGTAAGCCGGAAGGAAACGGTGCCGCGGATGGTAGTTAATCCACTATCTATAACGAACGAACGAGTCGGGCGATCGACGTCTCGTACCGGACCCGGGATACAGCCGGCCACTTTGCCATTTATTTCAACAAATGAAATAAGTAGTGCGTTAATTGATAAAAAGTAGTCTTAAAGATTTCGTTAGTAAAAGTAACAAATTTACAAGTTTTCTCCGAGCGTGGGGTAAAAGTCAGTTTCCCACGCTCGAAGAAAGTTTCCCACTAACTCCCTATTTCGGACGGCCGGATTCCATCCCGGGTTTCTCGGAGCGGTAGGCTGTCGCCTTAATCGCTCAACCATCCGGCCCCGTGAAAGAAGCGTCGTACACGTATGTGACAAAATCGAGCGAGAAGAAATCATCTTATGTCTCCTCTATTGCCGTTATTGAAAAATCGGGTTGTCGACTCGCTTTCTCGCCCTCTGCCACGTTTGTATCTAAGCGCGTATTACGTCTTTCCAAAATATTCGATCGAGTAACGCGTAAGAAAATTTTCTAGCAACGCTAGTGTCGAGATTATTGGATTCACTTGATATCTCGGTATTTAATAATCACGCGGTAAAACCCCGGCGCCAGTCTAATCACCGAATTTACAAATACCGCGATTAGGCAATGTTGGCGAAACACTCCGTGAGAGGGTCTCTTAATCAAACCCGTGGTGGGTTCGGCAGTGCCCGAAACGGGGCAACCGGGTGGCGGGGAGGGCGCCCGGATTCGAAATCCGGTCCCCCGGAGTGGTAAACCGACGGGTTAATCGCTCGACCGTCCGGCCGGCCGTCGAAATTGGGTAGGAAAGAAGTTCCGAGTAAATAATAATTTTTAATTGTACCGTACTTGAAAACTTTTACCATACAATTAGTAATATAGGTTAACGATTCCGTAATATATAAACTCTACGTTCTATTTATTTCCAAATAGAGTTTAAGTTTCCTTTTCTCTATTTACTCGTTTAGTACGACAAAATTTGGTTTTAATGGCCTTATTCGGTGTTAAGATTTTTCTCGTTTAAAATCGTGGCCGCCAGAGGGCGATATTCTCGTCCGGTGGGATTTACTGCCGGAAACCGGAACTACTGCAGAAATTTTTATAATCCTTAAAAGAATGCGAAATGATTAATTCCGCATTCGAATTGGGAGATTTCGATTATAATTTAACGTCGTGTCGTAATTTCGGCCTGGAAATAGGTTAATAAAAATGAAATTTTACTTCTTTGACATAGATATCACGCCTGAAATGAAAGAGGTTAATGATTCCGCGGTAATACGTTTCCCACGTTGAACTCGTTTTCTATCGAAATGCTTTTTTTCTTGGATTATTAAATATAAAACACATGCAGTATGTTAATTGCGTCAATATGCGTCGGAATCTACCCTTTTCCGTCTGTTTATCCGTAGAATTAACAACGGCGAAACGCCAGTTCCCGTCGACGAAAATCACCGAGTTAGTGATTATGCGGACGAATTCGTCGAATGAAATTCTTCGTTATAAAACCGACTCGAAAAAAGGAGTGGAGGATTCTAGACCGGAAACGACGAGAACGACGTCGTTTCCTTTCTGTAAATCTCTTGCGGTTATCGTCGTTTCGACGGCCTGCAATTTTTTATTACGATAGAATCGTTTGTTTCCCAGTTTAGAAAACTTTACGGCGGTTCTGCCAAATTTCGCGTATTTTCGCGTAATTTTCCGTACGATAATGTTGGCGGAATGACGCAATCGCACGTGCTTCCCGTTTCCATGTAAACAAAGTCGTCATTTCCGGGATGTCTTCGCTCCAAAATGGCGAACAGCTGTTTCTTGCGGTGGACGTTGGTGCTAATACTCTCCGTCGTTAACCCCGCCTGCACCGCTCTAGGTGAGTTTCCGACGCCCAATTTCTTTTCCTCGCATCCGAGTGTTGCGGTTTTACTCGTTTTGTAAGGGAAAGAGGAACGGGAAGGAGATGATCGATGTGGCGATCGAAGGGAGATCCACCTATTTGCTCTTCTTTTTCCTCGACCTACGCGGGTTTCTCTTCGATTTTATTGCCTTTATCGTTTTAATTATCGAAGCAATATAACGTAACGGAGCACGTAGTGGCCTTATTCCTACGTAATCGACCGTACACCAGCCGATATTAATTATATTTACGGTAGGTGGTCGAGTTAGGCCGAGTGATTTGTTACGTATCGATGGAGAGTTCCTCCGGTTTTTATCCGCATCAATTCGTTTATCGTGCAGTTGGATGCCGATCCCAATTTTCGGAGGAAATTACGCTGGAATCTTTGAAAAAATTATTAACTCTTCTTAAAATTCAATTTGTATTAGCGAATAAATTCAAAACTCGTTAACGAAATGTATTAAAAATAATTCGGTATTTGGTTCGAATCGCCGAGCGAAAATGTTAGGATGAATTTATAAAAATTATATTTGGACAATACGAGTTGTAACGTTTCTGAATTGGTTAATTTGAAGAATTGTATATTTTATTCAAAAATTTACTTTTAGTATTGTTTTTATGCATATTTTTTGAAATAATGGCGAGAGTAAAAATGGTAGGATCGACGAATGTAAATATTAGAATGCCGTGCGGGAAACCTGTCGTAGTTTACCGCCTCGTCTAATTTGTTTTTTATTTTTTCTGGAACGGTGGTTGTCGTGCGAAGACGGCGAGATTCGTATCGCGAATATTCGTCGTTTTGTTCTTTGTCCGTTGGAACGAAACGTGTCCTAATTGCGGTTTTTGACGTCGGAGTCGACCGGATTTTTTCTTCTGTCGGTTCCGTGACGCACGCTTTGATATTATTTTAATACGGTACGATGTTCTCCTTCTAATGTCGTTTTTTAATGTATGTTGCACGAATTGATAAGGACGGACAAAAGCTAATTATAAAATCGTACTTTTGTCTTATCGTATTAACTTACTGTCTTAGATAACTCAAAATATATCCTAATAAGAGATTCTATATTAATTTAGAAATGAATTACGTAATTTTAATTTGTATTTCTGAGACTAGCTTCTTGTAAGTGCGTAAATAAGAAGGTCGTTTTTAAAGCGAGAGTCGTCCTTGCGTGCTGACGGTGCAAATCGGCACCTTGGAGTTTCGCCCGGTGGGGAATGTGTTTTGACGCATCTACGACTCTCTCGGTCGACTCCGAGCTCTTTGGTACGTCGGACTAATTTTTTGGCGGCATTTTTTGAACTGTGTCTGTCCTGCCGATTGCCGAGTGCAATTGGAGATTTGCTTTTTAAATACGTACGTGTTCGCTGGCCGAATTGAAGCGTACGGAGAAGGGTGACGGATGGAAACGGTGTCGGTTTTTCGATAAAGGAAGAACGAGCGTTCCCGACGAAACGAGATCTGGATGTTGTTCGAAACACGATAAAAAAGTTGAAAAAGTTTCCGTGGGAAGTATTGGATTGTCTACTGTACTGTGTGGACCTGGCACCTTCTGACTTTCGTCTTTTCCTGAATTTAAAGGAAGTTTTGGGTGGAAAATGCATGCAGACCAATAACGATGTCCACGAGACTGTCGTCGCCATTCGGTTCGAGGAATGGGTGATAGAGTTCTTTGACCGGGGAATCTGGTTGAGCTCGTCTTCCGATATCAAAAGTACTTGGATGTCGACGGGGATTATGTTGAAAAATTGTTTAAGACATATTTTCATTGTAAAAAGAAGGATTTTGAGTTAAAATAAATTGACATCACTTTACGATAAAATTATTCTTAGTTTAAAAATGACCATTGTAATTTTATAGAAAATTTTCAAGATTTTATATAATTGACAGAATTATTTTAATATTATTTATGTAAAATACTTTAGTTCATTCGTATTTGACTTGTTACACAGTTAAAAAAAATCATCTATTGTTCATAAATTGATATACAAATCAATCTAATATCCTACAAACTTTGTTGTTCACAAATGATTGGATTATAATTCAAGAAACAGAGAATGATTTATAAAAGGTTGTTTGTCAATTACATATAATCAGTTCTAGTTAAAACTTGAAAATATCCATTAAGAAAACAAAAACAGTGGTGTTCATTGGCAGGATTCCTGTTTGTACTAAAATATTAATAGAAAAATAGGTATTTTTCAACAGATATCAAATTTTTAATACCTTGGCTACGATGTTTCTTGACTGACAGTGATATTAACAGTACATAAGTTTCAAGCAATCTGTGGTATTGTCAGCAACACCCTATGAAGGAAAACAAGGAAAGAGATGTGAATTGAATTTTATTAAGTTACGGCAACTCCGGTACAGTTCTGGAACAGGTGATCAGTGATGGGGGACAGGCAGATGTAAGCAAAATTCAAGCAACAATTGATTTCTCGCAATATATTAAAGGCTACACCACAGTGGATAAGATACAGAATGAAGACATAAAAGATGACTATAACGAAATTTTGGCAGAAATGAAAACAGAAAGATAGACAGAAAACTACCAGAAAGCTACCTGATTATAAATTAAGAAGAAAATGAAATATGAGAAGATTTAAGAAGAGATATTATGACCTTTGAAGCCAGAATGTTTAATTTTTGAATGAGCCAAGAATTTACCACACCTCTCATTTTTGCATTTGCAAAAATACAAAAACCAGGTACCTCATTATGTCCTGTGGTTGATAAAGTAGCATTTCCAACAATCTGCCTGGAAAAATCCTGAACAAATGATAAAAATGTACAGACTTATGACCAATCAATAACCAGCTTGGAAGTCCTGCTTGAACATCTCTGCAGTGGCGTAGTGTGGGTATCAGCCGCCTGGGGCAAAGGAAAATTTTGCCACCCCCTTATTTAGGTATATCAATTTAAAAAACTAAAATTCAGTTTCGTCACAGAATAAGTAATGAAAAATTCCATGCTAGTGTTGCCACCTTTTTAAAATGGCTGACCCGGACAGCAGGTGAGGTTTGTTCGAACGGAAGTTCCTGATGCATGCGTATGTCATTTTGCAATGCGAAGAATAATGTGCAGTGCATGCCAGTTCAGTTAGCGATTAGGGAGAATTGGGTAGGAGTAATATAAGTAACCTAGATGACTTAGCTGTATTGGATATTGGAGGTGTATATGAATACGAATGATTCGTACAAGCAAATAAAAAATAAATAAATAAAATTACAAAATATTATTATTATTTATTGTGAAATTTTGCTGCCCCCTAAAAAGTGCTGCCCAGGGCTGGCCGCCCCTGCTGCCCCCACTATGCTATACCACTGCATCTCTGCAATTTAACCATACCCAAACTTTGCCTTTTATGACTTTCAATCACTATACCCATCAATACGAATAGAACCAAGCTTTTGCATGCTATGCAACTTTGTATTTAACAACATTAAAGATGCTGTAAAGTACCACTCATACATCCTCAAGTTAGTAGACATCATTTTCCATTTATCCTTCTTTCAATTTGAAAATGTAACTTACCTACAAGAAAGAGGTGTGCCTGTAGGTAACCCAGTTTCAGACACCCGTTGTGAAATAATGATTCGACAACTGGAAATGTAGTTGCATACCTTAGATACATAGATGATGTACTTGTCATTTGGTGATGCAAACCCATCATGCAGGAATTCTTAACACATTTTAACAAGAATCTGTTTGGACCGCAATTAAATATTGAACAAGAAAGATCCAACAAAATTCACTTCTTGGGCATACTCCTAACCTGGCAGAATGGCCACATCCACACCAAAATTTACCATAAACCAACATACCATATTCGTTCTGGCCGAGTCACACAACCCATTTTCTAACAAATTAGCAGCTTTCTGGACACTAGTCAAAAGAGCTTTCACATATTCTATCAGCATGGAGGAGAGGAGGAAGGAACTAAATCACATTAAACAATATTATTTGTATAATGGCTGTAAAACTACTGTTTAATATCAGACTTATGTGTGTCTCATTACCTCTGGTTTATACCAGAGGTAAGGAGACACACAAATTAAAAGGAAACTAAACTCATTTTTTCTTTTTTATGTATATGTTTTATTGCAGGATGAATTTTGGAGCAAGTTCCTCATCAACCATTAAATAGGATGAATTACTAAAAAGGGTTGGACATATTCAATGTAGAAATTTATAATAAAAGATATATTCTTTATCACACATTTTTAAAATTCATGTGTATCAATGAATGCTTAAACATAGGTCTACTTATATAACGAACGAACTGGATAAATATATTAGTAATAAAACACATCTTTAATAATCCAGCTAATAAAAATTAATAATATAATAACGTTTTCAATCGTTTCTTAACGATCTTCTTCAGTTACCATAGCATAGAATAAAATCGAACACAAAAAAAGAACGTAAATACGAAATTAAAATATAAATAACGGAAAAGTAGATAAAATAAACGAACAATATAAAATTAATCCAAAAAAACGTCACT